TAATCATGTTTTGGGTGTACTATTCCTCTAAGCATCAAGACAGAAGAGATCAACACCAGACCCTCATTCATTAAAGGAGTTATTTCCAGCCAGATGGGGACAACTGACGCAATTATTTCCATAATTCCCGGGAGGTGCTAACCGCTTTAGCTGCAGTAAGCTACTTCCTTGTTTACCCCTCTGGTCACATGTGGATTATCTTGATCTTGGCTAACAGCCAGCTATAGTGGTTTAGGGCATTATGCTTGGAAACCGGAGGTTCTGAGTTCAAGCTCCATTCCTACAGACTGCCTTGTGCTCCCTGAGCAAGACCCTTAACCCCACACTGCTCCCCGGGCCCAGCACAATGGCAGCCCTCTGCTCCCCAAGGGGATGGGTTAAGTGCAGAGAGTGAATATCATTGCTCTGTACTTGTGACAGTCGAATGACAATAAAAAAAGTTGAAAAAGAAATACAGAAAGGCCTTTATTTAGTAACAAACTAAGCAAAGAAAAAAAAACTATAACAAATAGAAGCATTGTAATGTACCAGAGTGCATATATATTTAAAATAAATTCAAATAACGTGAGCATGCACCTTTAAAGAATTTATGGGAAGCTTTAAAAATCCCTTATTATCCGTCCGCTTTGACTGAACTACAGATGTTCTACAAAATAAAATAATAAAAAAAAAAAGAGTCTGCTTCTACTCATTTCAGATTTGTGTTTGTAAAAATAAAAAAATGCTGATGCATCAACATATCAAAAAGTATAAGGGGGGGTGTTAACATACAAACAAACAGACGTTAAAAGAAAGGCCAAACTGTCAGAAACATAGAAAACAAACATAGATCTGCAGCGCTACCGAGACACAGAGAGATCTGAGTTATTTTTTTATTCCTGTGACCTTCTTCATTGGTCTACGAGTAAATATAACCTTTAAAAGAGAACGTATTTCTCTGCTGAGGTAAACAGAGCTGCAGGGCTTCGGTTGTTCCAGCGAACGGAGAGAGAGAGACAGAGATCGTCATTAAATGTGGGGAAACGATAAAGGGGACATGCAGCTGTAATGGAAGCATTAGAACAGCCCAGGGAGAGATAAGAGTCTGCCCATAGAGAAGGAAACAAAGGCATGGATGCACCGGGGGCCGGCCCTTCATCCAGCGAGACAAAATAAAATTAGAGCAAATTTAACGAAGCACAGTTTGCAGTTTGACCGACTATCCTTTTAAATCTCATGTCAACACGCGGCGCACAGAGCCGTGGTGAGTCGCATGGAGCAGTGTGTCACAGGTACGCCGCTCCGAGTGGCCTAGTTTCTGTACAAACAAAAGCTCCGGGGGGAAACAGAGTGAGGGGCAAACGGGCGCACGAACATGGGATGAGCCAAGATAGGGTCAAAGGTCAAAGAAAAAACTGAGACAGAAGCTCAGCCTCAAGGACGACATGTTTTAATCAGTGGATGCAGAAAAAACAACAAGTATCATGGTATTTATTCACACATTTAAACTAAGAGGTTTGGCATGGGGGAGTGTTGGCCTAGTGGGTTAGAGAGAGCACACTGAGCAAGACCGTTAACACCACACTGCTCCCCGGGCGCCGCACAATGGCAGCCCTCTGCTCCCCAAGGGGATGGGTTAAATGCAGAGTTAATTTCTCCAATGTGAGATCAATAAAGATGAAATTCAAAAAACAAAAATACGTAATTTATCAATGCAGATGGGAGCTGGCTCGGAGCTCGTCTGCCAGGCTGTGTTTCCTGGACTGGGCTGCCTGTGAAGCTGGTTTACAGCTGATTTCTGTATCTCTGCTTCTGTCTCCTTGAACC